ATGCTTATTTAAGAAATACAATAAAAACAAATGAGTAATTTATTTAATTTCTGTTTATTTTTTTGTTTTGTTACAGCAGCCAAGCATTCATAACATGTATCATTTCAAAGATATTTTATAATTTTTGTTATTTTCCCCCCCTATGCTACCTAAATATGTACAGATGGTAAATGAAGCAAAGTGACTTTTAAGAGAAGGCTAAATAATATTATTTTTAATCTGACTACTCCTTTTCATTAAAAAAATGTTCATTTTAAACTGTAAATTAAATGAATAAATAATAATAACAATAATAAAATGCATTGGCTTAAACCTTTTCCAGCCGCCAAAGTTAAAAATGAGTCACATTCACCATCCTGACTGACCGGTTCTGTAGCAGCGCCGTGCTTATTTATTTATTTTAGTCACTTTTTGAAATCATTCGTCCCTTGTGTCATCCATGTGTGGCATCTGTAAGACGTCTGGACTCTGCTGTCGTGCCCCTACAGGAGCCCAGGTGGACCAGTCTGTGTTTGAGGAGCTGATCAGGGAGCGCCTGCCGGAGCTGGCGGAGCAGGTCCCTGACCTGTCCACGCTGTCCTCCGTCTCCCTGTCCTGGTTCCTCACCCTCTTCCTCAGCGTCCTGCCCTTCCAAAGCGCCGTCTGCGTGGTGGACTGCTTCTTCTTCCAGGGCATCAAATCCATCTTCCAGCTGGGCCTGGCCGTGCTGGACGCCAACGCCACGCAGCTGTCCGCCTGCACCGACGACGGCCAGGCGCTCATGATCCTCACCAGGTGGGTTCATTTTTCAGCTGATTGAGGTTTACTCATAAATCTGGGTTTCTTTATGACTTCATGCAGGACAAAAAGGAAAAAAAAAAGGGTTTTATGTTTGATTGAAGCTCCTTCATCGTTTCCTCTGCAGTTTTCTTGATCAGGTTGGGAGTGAAGAGTCGCCTTGTGTCCCCCCGCCGCCGCCGCCGCCCGCCACAGAGGAAAACAGCTGCAGCGACGCCGACGCCCCGGCTGTGAGACACATAAACATCACCGACCTCATCAGCGAGGCCTTGGGGGTGAGCGCAGAGAGAGCGTTATACAAACACATCATGTTATTGAAGGGTTTTATCAGGGCTGGTTGAGGCCGATCACCGATCTTTAAGACGCCTGATTCCGACCGACACCATTTTGTCAAAGTTGCTAAATGAAGGAAAAGATCTGTTTTTCATTTATCGCCCAACACTGAGAAAATCTGGGCAGATTTATTGTTGCACTTCTTTATTTTATACTTTCTTGTTCATATATTGTCTTTGAGGACTTTGTGTTTAATGACTTTTGTATTATTTTATTAAGCTGCACTGATCTTTAAAAATCCTTAAAATCCGATTTTGGCCAACTCAATTTTTTGTTTCGTCTGAAAAGTCGCTAAACGTAATGACAGACTAAGGGTAAAATTACTTTCTTATGTCAGTGATTTTCTTACCTCTGTGTTCTGGTCTTTGTCATACAGTTTCTGGTTTTCGTATTAGTCAATTTTACCCCTGCATTAAATTATTTCACTGACATGTACCATGTTTATCCAGTGAGACATCAGACATTTCCTTGGTGTAAAGGTTGTTTATTCATCATCTTTTCTCCTGACAGAAATTCAGAGACCTGTCGGTGCGGCACATCGAGCGTCTTCGCTGTCTGCACAGAGTCCGGGTTCTGCAGGCCCACGAAGACACCATCAAGGAAAACACTGTGAGCTGCTGATCTGTTCTTTTCAGTGAACATAAACACATCTTTGTATCCATCGATGACATTCGTTGTGCCTTGTGTGTGTGTGTGTGTGTGTGTGTGTGTGTCGCCGTGCAGCTGCGCCTGGTGTCTCCGGACGTCTCCATCTCTCCTGAGAACCTGTCCGACCTGTACGACCTCTTTAAGGTACCTCTCTCGTTCCTCCTCGGATTAAAATATCTTCTGATCTCTCCTGAATAAAAAGCGTCGTCTCCTCTGCTCCGCCCTGCAGACGGAGCACTTTATCACTCTGTACTGGGGCGACAGCAGCTCGGCGGCGGCGGCGGAAGCCGCGGCCTGGCAGCACGGCGATTCCGGTCACTCTTTCGTGGAGCGGCAGTATCGGCTGGACCGGCCGCAGTTCAAAAGCCTCTACGGGCTGCTGGCGCCGTGGCCGTCCGGGTGCAGCCAGCATATGGACACGCTCTCCAACCGCACCTTCACCCTGCTGGCCCCGGACCGGGACAACCTGGTCACCTTCAAGGACTTCGCCAGCTGGCTGGGTGGGCGGCAGAGAGCGATTCAGCTCTAGAGCCGATCGTTGGAAGACAAAACTGCCTTCCTGACCTTTTCCTTTTTGTTCCAGATACGCTGTACTGTGAGGAGCTGAATGTGAAAATAAGGTTCCTCTACCGCCTCCACATTCCTCCAGGTGATTATTAACCTGATGAAACAATGAGAGTTGCTGTCAGGACTGTGAGTGATGCGCTTGGCTCTTTGCATGCCTGCAGCTCTGACAGAGAGCGAGGATGAACCGTCCCTCAGGAGCCCCCTGCTGTCCACCAACAGGCCCCTCTACCTTAACAAAGAGACTCCAGGTTCACCAACACACACGTTTCCCTCAAAGGCTCTTCAGATACCTTATGCGTTCTCTTATAAACCAGCTCTGATTACATGTGCTCTTGCAGTTTCAGAAAGTGAAGAAGAAGAAGTGAAAGACTACCAGGAGCAGCTGAAGCAGATGCTGCAGGATTTGGTCAAGGAGAAGGAGAAAGACGCAGACAAACCTCTGCCGCTGATGAATCAGGTGCTGAAAACAAGAGCTGCTTCCAGGGCGTCTGCAGGTTCCAGCAGATGTCGTTTAAGACTTTTTAAGACCTTTTTTTTTTAAATTCTGGCCAACATGCCCCAGCTAGCCATGGCCTCCAGTCACAGAACGCAATGAGGATGTCTGTGTGCGACTCAAACTTTAGTCTAGCAGGAAAGTTCAGAGAAAAAAGAAACTTGAAGTTTAAGACATGTGATTAATGCATTTAAGGTCAAATTAGGACGTTTTAAAGCCTTACTTTAGACACACAAATTTAAGACTTTTTAAGGATGTGCGAACAGCCTGTACTTAGTTTTGTTCCTTCGCTAATGTGGAAGCTAGCTGCTAGCAGAGGTGGGCAGCATACCCAGAAATTGTAAAAGTAGCGCTACTTTAGCATAGTTTTACTGAAGTAAAAGTAAAAAGTATCAGTCTGAGAAATTACTTGAGTAAGAACAAAAAGGTAATTGGTAAAAAAAAATAAAATAAAAAGCTACTCTAGTACTGAGTAACTGATCAAAACATAAAGCATTTAATGTTTAAAAATACAGCATCACATGGAAAATAGGGTTTTGTAGAAATTTTGGTATTTTAAAAACCAAAATGAAAATTCAGATGAAAAGCAACAAAATCAGGCAAAAGGAAAATTTTTCCAAATCGTCACTAAAGTAAATGTAACTTGTTGCTGTGCAGTAACAAGTTACCCTGTGGTAAAATCGAACATCTACCCTCGTTTCACAGCGGGAGTTCATCCAGTTCTGCAAGACGCTCTACAGCATGTTCCACGGCGACCCGGAGGAGAACGACCTCTTCCAGGCCATCGCTACGGTAACCAGCCTCGTGCTGCAGATCGGCGAGGCCGGTCACCGCGAACAGACCAAAGCGTCAGAGGAGAAGCCGGCGAAACCCACGCCGCCGTCCGACGGGGCTCTGGCCGCCGACGACGAGTGGACGGTGAGCTACGCTCAGATCCTGGCCTCGCTGCTCACCGAGCAGGCGCTGGTGAACTTCTTCGAGAAGCCGGCCGACCTGACGGAAAAAATCGCAAAGGCCAAACAGAACCAGTACCAGCAGCGGGCGGGTTTGCTCACGCTGCAGAAAGGGACCAGGTGACTGTGAGAAGGACGACGGTTTGTCTGCGACGTCTGATCAAGACGGAGGCCTTACCTGTACCGTGAATCCCACAGGATGGGGCCAGAACGCCCTCCGACTCCTCCACGGTCACCACGCTCTAATCAGCCGCTCTCTACAACGTTTACACACTCTAATTACAGCATTAATTATTATACGTCCTCGATCACACCGACCCGCCTGCCTTATCAGGACATTCTACCAGTCGACCTCATGAACTGATGGGACAGATTTAAAGGCTAAAAAGAAAAGAAAAGTTTTTGTATTAATTTAGTGCTTCTGTTTCTGTCATAGGAAATGTTTCCAGATGCTCTTTTTAATTAAAGACATTTTTAAAACAATTTTCAATTCTTTTCATTGACGAGACATTTACTGGGTATTAGGTCATTGATTCACCAAGGTGTCGGGTCATCCATGCAGGGTTGGGTCAAGCAACAATTCCAGTAAAATAAGTGGTACACAACCTTTCTACATGCCAGAAAAAACACCTTTTCTGTCCTACTTTCACATAATTACACTGGGACTGCTGCAAGTTTTTAGACAGGATCAAGTTTAAGCAAAATGGACGTGGCGTCCAGGATGTTTTTGTAATGCCAGCAATTGGATGGAATCTGCCAAAAAAAATCAACCTTCTTCCATAACTATTCTAGGCCTCAAACATAAATCAGAAGGTCTGTGGGATGAGCAGGTTGATTAAAGATGATCTAAACACACTGTGCAAAAATGGTCAAATATTTTCAAGTTTGGAAAATGTCATAAATTAAGTAAAGTCCTACTGGCAAAAGCTGTGTGTACAAACCATGAACAGGTTGGGCGCCAATAATTGTGGGGACTGGTGAAAATCGAATCTCAACACTGGAACTGTTCACACTGAATACTCCAATAAAAGCCTTGATTTATACATAAATTCAGATAAATTTCTGTTTTTTACATTCCTTTCCACTGATTCCAATCAAGAAAACAGTTAAGTTGGTTAAATCTCTATAGGACTCTTTTTTTTCTTAGTGAGCTGGTCAATTTCCAGTAACCACATTTTTGGATGTGAATAAAAGTGATGGATACAAAAGAAAAGGAGGAGGCAGAATGCTGCAGGAGGTTGTGTGCTTTATTAACTACTGATTAAACGTAGAGGACGGCCTTCAGTCAGGACCCAAATAATCGGAAGAAACAAAACACACATAAAATGCTATCAGCCAGCCTTCGGTTCAAAAGGAGGCTTAACTCATACAACTCTTTTGGAGAGGTTTGATCATGGAGGATAAGTGGCACAACTAACTCTTATTCACTAAACTCATTCAGATCTTAGTCATTACTGGGTCTAGTCAGGGTTCTCAGAAGGAAACGGCGGCTCGGGACAAAAACGATACATTAAATTACGGCATCAAATCGTTGAAATGTACAAAACAGTGGGAGGGTCAGGTTGTCGTGTTTCCCCGCAGCGGGGGTCTTGGAACGATCTGAAACAGTCCGTCATCTATAGCAGGCGTGTTGTGTTGAACCAGTGTTAAAACGTCACGTCATGAAGCTTATGTCACATCCACAGGAGGCACGGCAACGGACTAAACGAGAAGCACGGCACAATTCAAATACTGTCAAAGAGCAACAAAACGGTGAAAAGCTACAGATTGGGTTGGGGACGGCGGGAGGACCGGCCAGCTTGCCCTGTGGATGGGTCTCGCCCACTCTGGAGGGACGATGGGCGGGCTTCGTCTCTTAGATGGCTTCCACGTAGTTGGCGGGCAGCATGCCGGTCTTGCCGGTGCGCTGCACGGTGCCGTACATCCAGCCCTCGTCGATGGACTGCACGTTGACGATGACGTCGCCGTCTTTGAACGACACCTCGTCGCTGTCTGCCGCCATGTAGTCGTACATGGCGCGCACGGTTTTCTGCAGGAAACAAAGAGACGGAGGGGTCTGAGAAGAGTCTGAGGAGTTTTTTCACGTTCAGAACCGAGGAAGGTTTGTTTTTTGGACGACGATCTTCGAGGGCCTAAAACGGAAATCCAGTATACAGTTTGACTTAAAAGCTCACATGTAGGCATCAGATGAATGAATGTCTTCATATTTGACTTTTAGGGATAGATTCAAACTTTTTTTATATATTATATTCAGCGTCAATGACTGGCAGTGGGAATTAGGGAACTAAATTTAAACTAGTGCCAAAATGATTGATTTCAGCACTAGTTGATGATTTTTGAAATAATTGTCAACTAATGCAGATTCAAGAATGTGTCTTTTGTTGAAAGAACAAGACTCAGCAAGAATTAAGCAAAAACTACAAAAATATCTACATTTAGCAATTAAAATGAAAAAAAAAAAAAAAAGTTGTCTGTAAATATGTTCAACCCAAAACTTAACTGGACGAAATTCACCCGGTTCAAATTACTGCACACTTTACACTCCTTAGTCAGTTCATCTATAGTCAACAGGTCAGCCTTACACTGTACTGATAAGTCGAGCATAAAGGGCTGAGGTTTTCACAGGTTGGTAAATTTTGATCTGATTAATCGATGAATTGATCGATACCTAGAATAGTTTAAATATGTATATAATTCTTATTCTTCAAAAATCACTGTATATGTATATTTTAATATCATTCCACCATAAGAAAAAGTAAAGTAAACCCTTAAATGAACACAGCATTAATTCCCATGTGTTCACGTAAACATGTGAGCTGAACTTATTCCTCCTGAAGTGTCTCTGGTGTTTCCAGAGGCGACTGCGTCCTACTGACCCCAGTGGTGGACGGGTGTGAGGGGACGGAGGAGACGGTGGTCTGCTGGGTGGCCACGGACGATGACCTCTGCTGCACCTCCACGGTCCTGGTCTGCTGGTAGCCTGCAGATATCCGACAAACGGCCGTGTAAGGGACATTCGCAGCACGAATAAAGCTCAAAACCGAAAACGGCTAAAGTGTCTCATTTGATTGTGACCCGTGGAGCTGGCCATGAAGCCGTTGCTGTAGAGAGACAGGTGGTGGTCGACGTCCTGCGACACCTCGGACTTCTCGTCGGCCATCCCGCTCAGGGCGCTGGTGGAGCGGGAGTGCTCCTTGCTGCGGCGCTGCGCTTGCACTGTCGGGTCGGAGCGGGAGAAACGAGCGGGACGTTTGAAACACGTTTAGACCAACAGCAAACTATTCACAACTGAACTTTTACATACGCTTATATTTATTTTGCTTTACAAGGGAAGACCGACTTATATTTGGTAAGAGACAATTTAGATTACGTAAATATTTTATAGGGTTCCTATTTTCATTAGTTTCACTTTTCTAGACTATTTAGAGGTGATTTATTTTTTGTATTTAATTAAGAAATATAAAATAAAAAAGTTCACTATATATTTGATGTTTCTAAAAGTGGGGAGGCTTTTATCATGGAACACTGAAAGAATAGAAAACAAAACAACAAATCAATAAACAAAAAAGGAAAGGAAGGATTCAAAGGGAGGAAGGAGAGGAAAAAAAGCAAAGACAAAAGAGGAAAGAATGAATAGTAAAAGTGATCAAAGAGAACAGAAGATATGAAGGACACGAGGAGAGAAATAAAAAGGATAAACACCAGGAAATAAATTAGGGAAGGAAAGAAAGGAAGGACACAGGGAAGGAAAAATGGTAAGGAGTGAGAAAACAACGATGGAGAGAGGAAGAAAAGACAGAAAGAGAAATGGTAAAACATTCGGAAGAAGTGAAAGTAAACAAGAGCACAAAGCAAAAAAAACAGAAATGAAGGCATGAGAGCAGGAAGAAAGGAAGACAAACAATAAAATATACAAGAAAGAAAGGAAAGGAAGACATAAAAACATAAGAGGGAAGGAAAGGCAACATGGATAAAAAAATCATAAAAGTACAATTTTTTCCACACTCTTCTTTTTGCATATCTGTAAAATCACCAATGCTAATCAATTTAATACTTTCCAGACTGAGTATTATTCCTGTTTTTTCTTTTGTTTATTAAATCCAAACCTCCGTCTTTTATTGATGAACCGGTTTAAATAGTTTTCCTCTCTGGATGTGACTCTCACCTGACATCATGTGCAGACTCCTGGACTGGATGTTGTCCTCTGCTGGGTCGTAGTCGAACACGGAGCCGGGATTGGTGCGCCACACGCGCAGATCTACACACACACACACACACACACACGCATGTTTGTGTTGCTATCTTTGTGGGGACTTTCCATTGACTTCCATTCATTTCTACAGCCGAAACCTTACCTTTACCCTTTCCTTAACCCTAACCATCACATACCTAACCCTAACCCTAACCAAAACTCAATTCATACCTTAGCCCTAAATCTGACCCCTGACCCAAAAACAGGGTTTCACCTTGTGGGGACCAGGCTCCGGTCCACACAAGGAGCAATTGGTCCCCACAACGTAGTATATGTCAGGAAAATCTTCCCCACAAGGTATTACAAACAAACGCACACACACACGCGCACACGTTTGAGTGGCTATCTTTGTGGGGACTTTCCATTGACTTCCAATCATTTCTACAGTTCTTCTTTACCCTTATCCTATCCCTAACCATTACATACCTAGCCCTAAACAAAACTCAATTCATTACTTTAATAAAGTAGCTGTGCTTAAAAAAAAGACCCAAACATGAAAACTACAACAAACCCATACAGTTGATCATAAAGACTGATAAGTTTGAAGTTCTGTGGTACGTAACCCGACCACGTGGTTTCCTTTACAGCTCCAATAGTTTTCCTCCAAACCAGAGTGTGGTGCAAACATTCCATTACTTGGTGTTTTATTACATTGCTTGTTATTTTAAGGCATTCACAAAATCAGCATAATTCTGATTGGTGTCAGATTTAGGATGCCTTAGCCCTAACTCTGACCCCTGACCCAAAAACAGCATTTCCCCTTGTGGGGACCAGGCTTCGGTCCCACAAGGAGGAGTGGGTCCCCACAACGTCGGATGTGTCAGGAAAATGGTCCCCACAAGGTATTATAAACAAACACACACACACACGCACACACACACACACACACACACACACAGCTAGCTACTAGAGCCAACACATAACTGACAGGAAGTGGTTCTATTTCTGCCCTCTAGTTTGTCACAGAGAAGGTAAATAAAGAAGAAACCTGCTTATTTGACACTAAGAATAGAAGCAAATCCATTTTCAAAAAGAAAATAGAAACTGTTCAGTAAACCTAGGAACCCAGAGACAATCCAAAAGTTTATGTTAGCTCATTAGCTTCAAATATTTTCTGCTGATGTCTAAATCATTTCCACCCTGGCGTTGAGCTGTCCGTACCGGTGATGGTCTCCTGGTCGTGCTCCATGGCGCGTCTCCTCTCCATCTCCACCACGCGCCGCTGGATGCCACGGTAATTGATGTCGCTGAAGTCCTGCATGTTCTTCTTGACGCGCTCCGTCACGGGGTCGGAGGTCGTGGGGGTGAAGCTGCCTTTGCTCTTCTCAAAGTCCTCGTGGTATTTTACCTGCAGGAGTCAAATCGAGGTTATTTGAGAGTTAAGCGTTTTGTTCTATGATCCTAAACTAGATCTTACTTCCTGTTCAGGGTCTGGTTTCCTGTTAGCACTGATCTGCATTTATTCAAGAGAATAAAGTAAATATCTGAGACTAACCAGGCAGACGGCTCCATCACCGAATGGCTAATTCTACTCTGTGGGTCGAACGTTGGCAGTAAATGAAAAATACGGAGAACAAATAAAAAGATCTTACTCCGGAGATGATGCGCTGCGTCTCCCTGACGCGCCTCATCTCGGGCGTGTCCAGAACGAAGGCGGCCTTGCCCTGCACCTGCCGGCGGAAGCTGTCCGAGTACAGCACCTGGATGGGGACGAGCACAGCGGGCGGACGTCAGGAATACCGACTCCGCCAACGCATCGAGAGCGGACGCACAAAAGTCAGAGGATTACTGGGAAATCAGACAAATGAATTAGCAAGGGAGATTTCTCTTTTCTTTTTATTTTCTTATTATTATTAGGAGATGAAGAGTTAGAAAAAAAAACACAGAGTTATGCTCCAATCTTCGGAGCGGGGACTTAAAAAAGATGAAACGGAGCAGTCTGGAGGACAAAAGAAGTTATGGATTAAACGTATTCGGAGAACAGTGCAGTCGGGATAATTAATGAGATTAACTAAAGCAAAAAGGGTAAAGGGGAAGTCGGCTCGGTTAGGAAAAAGGTTAAAGGGTTTTTCTCAGAGAGCGGTTCTGGAAGGTACCGAGCTAATGTTTTCCTGGTTCCGTTTGACTCGCTCCATCTCAGGAGTAAAGACCACAGGCGTTCCCTTGGCAGAACTGTCCTTATACAACACCTACAGGACAAGAAGCACATCAGAAAACTCTTAACACACCCGCCGGAGCTCACAGGTTTGGGCTCTTCGAGCGCGAACTCGTTACAAGCGAGAGAGAAAACGAGAACGCTTCTGAGGACGATGTCTGCTGGAGGAATGATAATAATAAAAAAACAGACAATCAATAAGATTTTAGATTCACTGGAATATTAAAAGTAGTTCATGGAGGAAAAAAAGCTTAGCTGCAGGTTAGGAAATATTGTATTAAAAAAGGCCAAAGAGGCAGGAATGATGTAGAAGATTAAAGGATATAAAGCAGTGGTGTCAAACTCATTTTGGTTTTGGGCCAAATCAAGATCATGAACGCTCTTAAAGGGCCGGTTGTGCCAGAATGTATTGATGAAACCTGATCACAAACTGTTAAAATAGCAACTAATTCTTCAAATTAAACAATATTACTGAACATCTTTTCAGTCCCTCCACGATTTCGTGATTCCTTTTGGGGTTTTTTACAATAAAAACCAAAGTGTTTGTAGCACTAATTTGGAAATATTATATCATCAGTTAGGGCATAGACAGCTGTTTAGTACAAGTAAGAAAGTTTTTGACAATGTTTGAGAAAAATCTGCAATAAAATCCCAATTATAATCGAAAAAAATAGGTGCAGGGATTTGTTGATTTTGTGTGAATTTCCACAATAATTCTCAAGAAACTGGAGAGACTGATTGGTATAATTTGGCAGTAAACAGATAAAAACTTAATTGATTTTATTGATAACATAATATTTTAGCACAGTCTAGAATCTAGAGGGCCACATAAAAAGCTACGGCGGGCCGGATTTGGCCCACGGACCTCAAGTTTGACACACGTGATACAAAGGAACAGGAGAGAGAAAGATGGAAATTACAGCAAAATGAGGTGGAGCTCAAGAATCTGCAGACTGAGCCTTAAATAAAGATGGATGCGATGAGGAGGGGAGAGGAGTCATGATGGAAACTACTGTCTACGCTCAAAAGGTTAGGAGCACACGGGGGTCGGCTTCGGTCCACTACCGAGCTGATGTGCCTCTGGGTTTCTCTGACCCGCTTCACCTCGGGCAGGTCCGGTATGGCCGTGCCTTGGCCCAGAGAGTCCTTGTATTTTATCTGGCAGACAGATATTGAAGGGTTGTATGCAGGGACAGAAGAAAAACACAAACAACAAAACACAAGCACACAAAGATCAACAACAGACGACGAAGCAGAGACAGACGAACAAACACAGCAAAAATAAAAAAATAGTAATAATAATAAGAATGTTGTAATAAATATCTGTTCCTGAGAAACGAAGGAAGCATGTCATGTTAGAGGAATGGTTTAGCTCATCCCGGGTGTTTCTGCGTTACAGTCACAGTCAGAAGTATCCATACACTATTCGTTGACACGAATGCCGTATCAATTCATACCTTTTCAATAAAAGCATCAATTAATTTAAAAAATAAAACCTGGGGAATTAAATGAGTAAACTGTGTACAACTTTGGTGATTTTTCAAAACAAGAACAAGTGGATAAAGTTGGAATTTACTGTAGATTTTTCTCTGAAAAGTAACTTTTTGGGAAAAATGTACTTCCAGAAGCAGCTGTAATCCTCTATACTTATTACTTGAGTAATATATTTGTTTACATTTTGGTTTTTAAAATACCAGATTCTTAGGGGTGTAGCGATACAATAATTTCACGACAAGATACAATATACAATATTCTGGTCACGATACGATATGTATCACGATATTTGTTGTTATACAATTCGCTACGATTCAGTGCATTTTTATAATTTTCTGAAAGATTTTAGGACAGAGTAATTTTAGTGACATTTTGTGTTCCATAGACTTGAATTTAGACTGAAAACTGATTAAAAGCACCAACTACACAATACCTGACTCTGATTGGACAGTCTAACAGTCTGCAGCTGGACAAAATGAGTCAAAAACGCAGTGAGAGAATTAGTTTCTGTCATTTAATTCATGTGGATTTAACATAAAACTGAAAAGTTTAAACGGTAATCCAGGAGCAGAGTGTGGAGATTATCAGCATCTGTAGACTCTCAATATGCAAATGATTGCACTTATGTTTTTTTCTTTTGGACACTATGGCTGCATTTTGGAGTAAAAATGCAGCCACAAATGCAGTCTTTTGGACTATGGGGAAAAAGGCTTTTCTACCTTGTCTCCCGGAGTTAGCCGTAGCTGTAAGCTGTTTACTACTAACTGCTAAAGTAGTGGCTCCGCCTCACCCCGTAGTGATCGACTCCCTGCAGCTACGCAGCGCCGCTATTCCCCTGCTTGGATCTCTGAGTAGCTGCCTCTCAGACTGCCAGCATCTCATAGTACTCTCAGTCTCTGATACTCTTTGTCTGTTGCTAATAAGAATGATCGATCAGCCATTGTTATCATGGAAATCCTCACTGCGCCGCGGATTCCGGCTGGGGGTTTTTCCTCTTTGTCTTCCTGCTCAAAACACAGCGCCGCTGCGCGCCCGCTTCGGATGTTATCAACCCATGTTCATTCTTCAGGTAATCCTTTATATACAGAACAGAAGCCGCTAAGCTAAAAACTAATTACGAAGTGAATGCTACCAGTCTAAATTTGCATTAATTTCGCGATTTCACTGCTTTTGCAGTTGCTCCGTTCGCGCCGCTACTCCTTTACGCTTCTCCGTTCCGCTTCTCTTTCACGGTTACTTGCGCAACTTTACTTCGTTCATCAGCAACAAAATAGAGCCCATTGTTATTTATTGAAGATTTTACATTTCCAAAAACACAGGAAACGTTTCGTTTTGTACGTTTGGAAGCTCATTCCCTCTCACATAAAAGGAAAAGCCGGGGAATGGCAGCGCTTTTGACATTTCTCTGACATTTGGAAAAATATGGTTTACTAATTTTAGGATAACTCCGGTTATACTTGGCCTATTAACACAATTTAAAAACTGGTGTAGTTTCAAATGTGCACTTTAAGCTCAAGTTGAAAGTGAGACTGAGGGAGGCGGAGTCCTGCTGGTACACCGTAACAAACTAGACGTTAAAAAGAGCTCTATGGCTATGGACCTCTATGGTCCATAGCCATAGCCCATAGCCCATAGCCATTTTTCATCCGCGATACTCGCGGGTGAAAAATCGATACTTTCCGAGGGCGGAAAATATCGATATATATCGCCGAATCGATTTATTTATCCAGCCATAGTGACTCCATGTTGGTTGGGGAGTCAAGTTACACACAGCACTTTAAA